CCCTTCTAGCCCCTCCCTCTCTGCCCTTTTTGGATTTTGCCCGAACCAGCTCTACATCCATTAATTTCCAGCAGGGAGATGATAAAAAAAATAGAAAAAAAAAAAAAAACAAAAGAATAAAAAAACAAGAAGAAGAAGAAATAAAAAAAAAAACTAATTTAAAAAGAAAAAAAAGAAAAAAAACTAATTTAATAATTCCAAAATAATTTTTTTATAATAAAATCTCTTACAAATTTATGTAAAAATCATACAATCTTAACTCAATACAATAATTATGTTTTGATTTTTTATTTTTAATGAGATGCATGGATCAATATGTATTTATTTATTTGATATTATTATTATGTACTTATATATTGCATATTTTCAATATTAGAAACCATTGTATATGAATCAAGTTCAAGGAAAATATAGGTGCTATTGTTCTCTAACTTCCAAAGTCTACAAAAAAAGAGTTAAGCAAATATCTCCAAATTCAACTTGGTGAAATTGAAGGGTTTGAATTCTTGTAAAAAACTAAGCACTACTTTGTTAAAAAATATATAAACATCTCCCAAAACTCAGCAAACAAAAATTGAAAAAAATAAATTGGAATCAAATTAATTAGCTAGATATCCCAAATTACATGAATTTAAAATGTAGTAAAACTGCAAAGATTACCAAGTTTGAAATGCTTGGATTTGAGTAATGATCTACGGGACGAATTTACGGGACGATTTTGGGAGACAAACAAGTGAAAGCAGGGTCAAATTCATAATTATTGTTGAGACTGCTTTACTTGTCGTCCCCTAAAATCGTCCCGCAAATTCATCCCACATATCATTACTCCTTGGATTTTGGCATGTAGGACCTAATAATTCACCATCTTCTCTACAGACAAATAGAAGATTGTCCTAATTAATCTCGAAGATATAGAACAATATTACGGTCATGCTTAGACATTTATGGTTATTCATATTATCCTTTTTCATTTACATTTTCTTCACCATATAAACAATTCTCTAACATCCTGCTTCTCTCAAATCAAGCTACAAAACAAAGAGCAGCATCAAAGTCTCTCAACACTCGCAAACAAATATATATATGTAAGTTTTTCATATTGGTTTTTACAAAAATTGAATGATTAATTCCATTCCAAGTTAGCATTTAGAAAATTGTTTTTCCTTGTATTGTCTGTAGTTGAAAAATTAAAGGATAAAAATGAAGTCTTCCTTGGTCCAGAAGAAGCTCATGGAACCTTTGGCTTGCCTCCTGCTGATAATACTCATGTCAGGTTGTGTAGCTGCTAAATGTGGAGCTAAGGGTGGTGGAAATGCACCTCCTCCCCCTTATGGTGGTGGGGGAGATACACCTCCGCCCCCTTATGATGGCGGTCATGGTGGAGAAGACGCACCTCCACCACCTTATGATGGAGGTCGTGGTGGTGAAGATGCACCTCCCTCCCCTTCTGGTGGCAGTGGAGGATGGACATTTCCACCTCCCTTCCCTTCTGGCGGCAGTCCTGGTGATGAAGATGCACCTCCCTCTCCTTATGGTCGTGGTCCTGGTGGCAGGGGAGGATGGATATTTCCACCTCCCAATCATTACAAGAATTGCATGGGAGGTTTTTGTACCGCTAGTGCTTCAACCTCTCCCAAAGCATTGCTTGGCCCAGTTTGTTGTCTCGTTGATTATTTTGCATTTCGCTTATTTGTTTAATTAATGTGAATTAGCTATATATTTAACATAATTTTCCTCTATTTTTTTCAAAGAGATTTGAAAGTTGGATGAAAGATTGTACTTATTTCCCAATTAAACAAAAGTAAAACGGTATTTATTAATTTATCGTTCTCGCTCAATTCTTTAAATCTCGTATGACTCAACTCGAAACCTTCTATTTGGAGTGCAAATTTTTAACAACTCCATCCACACTTTGGGGCAAGGGCTTACTAAAGACAAGCACAGCAGGAAAAGCTTTTTCTTTTGTGGCATGAGACATGGGCACACTGCAGATTGGACACACAGCACAACTAGATGAAAAGTCTTCGCCTTCTCTTAGAACACAACTCCTCTCTCGGCAAAACCACCAAATTCTCCAAAAAAACCTCTCCTTTCGTCTCTCATGGAACATCATCTCAACGTCCCGACAAAACCCACCTTCTATCTCTCATTCATGCCTCCAAAACCATCCATGAACTCCGCCAAATACACGCCCAAATCTTCCGCGGCAACCTTTTCTCAAGCAGCAACCTTGCCACCGGCTTGATTTCTGCCTCTTCTTCTCTTAAATGCATTGATTATGGGCTCTCCGTGTTTTGTTTTTTCGACCCTAAGAATTTGTTCGTTTTCAATGGGTTGATTCGCGGCCTTGCGGAGAATTCGAGATTAGAGAGTTGTATTTCCCATTTTGTTCTTATGTTGAGGATGAGGGTGAGGCCTGATCGGCTTACGTATCCTTATGTGCTTAAATCTGCCGCTCGTTTGCGGCTTTGTTGGCTCGGTAGAACTCTTCATGGAAGGGTTGTCAAGTGTGGAGCTCAGTTTGATTCATTTGTTCGGGTTTCATTGGTGGACATGTACGTGAAATTTGAGGAAGTGGGTTTTGCGCAGCAGCTGTTCGATGAAACTCCTGACTGGATCAAGAGTAGGAGTTTATTGATTTGGAATGTGTTGATTAAAGCGTGTTGTGCAGTGGGGGATTTAAGCAAGGCTGTGGATCTTTTCCAGACAATGCCAGAGAGGAATACTGCATCTTGGAATAGTTTGATAAATGGGTACATGAGAAATGGGGATTTGGATAGTGCATCCAGGCTCTTTGATGAAATGCCTGAGAAAGATGTGGTTTCTTGGACGACGATGGTTAACGGGTTCTCAAATAATTGCAACCAAGAGAAGGCATTGCAGATGTTTTTTAAGATGTTGGAGGAGGGTGTGAGGCCGAATGATCTAACTGTTGTTTCTGCTCTTTCAGCTTGTGGCAAAATTGGTGCCCTTGAAGCTGGAGTGAGAATTCACAATTATCTTAAACGTAATGGTTTTCAGTTGAAAAAGGCAGTTGGTAATGCTCTGGTAGATATGTATGCAAAATGTGGGAATATTGAGGCTGCAAGTAAGGTTTTTGTCGAGACAAAAGACAAGGATATTCTTACCTGGAGTGTTATGATATGGGGTTGGGCAATCCATGGGCGTTTTCAGCAAGCTATTGAATACTTTAAACAGATGATGTATTCAGGTATGACTTTCTGTTGTTTTTATGTAATTCAATTAATTATCTTGTTTTTCACCAAGACAAAAATAATTTTTTTTCCTGAAGAGAATGAAATTTTCTATGTTTTCAGGAATAAAACCAGATGGAGTTGTGTTTCTTGCACTCCTAACTGCATGCACACATGCTGGTCAAGTAAATCTTGGGCTTAACTTCTTTGACAGCATGAGGCTTGACTATTCCATCGAGCCCACCATAAAACATTATGCATTGATTGTTGATCTGTTAGGCAGAGCTGGCCGACTTGGTCAAGCTTTGAATCTAATCCAAAGAATGCCCATAACTCCTGATTTCGTGATATGGGGAACACTCTTTTCTGCTTGCAGGGCTCATAAGAATATCAAAATGGCAGAACTAGCTTCAGAGAAGCTCCTAGAGCTGGAACCTAAGCATCCTGGGAGTTATGTTTTCTTGTCAAATGTTTATGCTGCAGTAGATAGGTGGGAAGATGTAGAAAGAGTGAGATCGTTGATGCAAACCAAAGGTGTTGAAAAAGATCCAGGATGGAGTTACGTTGAGATTGGTGGCAAAGTACATAGTTTTGTAGCTGGTGATCATAGTCATATGCATGCAAAAGAGATATACCTAAAATTAGAAGAAATAGTTAATGGAGCTAGAGAACAAGGATATTTGCCCGAAACTGGGTGGGTACTTCATAATATTGAAGAGGAAGAGAAGGAAGATGCATTGGGAAGTCATAGTGAGAAGTTGGCACTTGCATTTGGATTATTTAGTGCTGCCCCAGGGACAACTATCAGGATAGTGAAGAACCTTAGAGTATGTGGGGATTGTCATTTTCTCATGAAATATGCTAGTAAGATGAGTGAAAGGGAGATTGTATTGAGAGACATTAAGCGATTCCATCATTTCAAGAATGGAAACTGCTCATGTGGAGATTACTGGTAACATGGTAGTTACCTTGTACTGACAGCATCTGACATTATGCGGGCATTGTTGATAGCTTGTGTGAGTTGATTTTTTCAATTTTAAATTAAAAATCCATGAATCATAATGACATGGAAATTAACATATGTCGTTATGTACTGCCAGACAAGTATAAATTGATGAGTTGGATCTTTGTTGTTAGTTACGAATAACACTTCTTTGTTGTAAAGAGAATCAGTTTAACAAATTTGAATTAGTGTTGTGTTGATGAACTCCCTTGTTGTTTCTCCACATCAGTCATCAGCTAATCCCTTTATTGGTTTTTAAGAGATTTTTGTAATCAGTTTGCATTCTTTCTGGAGATTTTATGGAAGCTGGCTTTAGTTTTTCAGAGATGAAGCTGCTCTGGTGTTAAGGTTCTCAAGTGATGATTGTTCTTCTGTGGCTGATTTTTCTGTGTTTTTCCATAGCTCTCTGCTCTGCCTATCCTTATTGTAACTCTAATGTTTGCTGCAGTCATTTCCCTAGGGTACGAGCCTTTTCTACAAATGTCCTATTGTGTGTCTTAAGGTTTGAATCTAAAATTTATAATTAAGGAGTCTCACACTCATTTAATTAGAAACATTGGATGAAGCATGACGTACCAGAATAATAATCTCGTAGCCAGAAAAAGAAGAAAAGAATGAAGAGATATACAAATAAGAAAGTTGGATGATAACATTACATTTTCCTTTACTATCATAAAGGAATTTGTCTTTATTATTAGAAAAATAGAGAACACTCCAATTTTTTACATTTGAAAGAATTAAATGTAATGGCTAGCACACGAAATTTGAGGGGAAAAAAAAATCAACAATTATCAGAGGAGGAAAACTTTCAGTTTTCTGGAATTTATATACTAAATGGAGATGCAAGAACTAGACCACAGCATTGCAGACCTTCCTTATGATCCCATTTGAACCAGTCAGTGGGTCAATATCTCCCATCTTGATCATGGCAGCTGCAAAATCAGACATAAAAGTTGATGGATCCCTACTGTATTCAGAAACTATGGCATCAGTGGATCCACCACTAAAAAGCACTTGATCAGATTCGAGGAGGCCCTTCTTTCGCAGTAGGTTCTTGAAATAATTGTTGTCGAAGGAATTGGGTGTTACCAAATCAAGTGGTGCCAAGTTAGTGTTGCCTTGATTAGTACCAGCAGGGCAATAGCGTCTGCGAGTGCTTGCAAATCCTGCATCAATGTCACTGGTATTGTTGTTTACCCTGTCCCTGAATGTGGCACATTGAGCCTGTCCTATTGTATGAGAACCTGACAAGGCAACCATGTCCCTAGCACTCAAGCCTTTGTTTCCGAAGAGAGAAATGAGCGTAGGAAGATCATCTATGAAACGGGGGAGATTACTCTCAGCTAGGCTCTTGCTTGCAGTGGTAGAATCTCTTCTCCCAAGCTTAACTGCCCATGTTGGACCACCTACCTGATATTTTTGAGGAAATTTTATTAGATTTCCTTACAATCCTCATAAAAAGATGTAGAATAGGAGTTAATCATGGGTATACTCACGTATTGGGATGCGTCTCTTGCTGCAACTGCTAGTATATCTGCACAGGATACAACTCCAGGACACACCTTCTCTACCTCAGCTTTGGCTTTGTCAATAACTTCAAAACCTCTTGCAGAATTATTATTCTGCAATGCAGTTTTCTCACTAATAATGGATGGAGCATTGTCTAGTAAAATTGAGGCATCACATCCCTGGACTCAAAAAAAAATACTAGGTAAATATTTGTTTGCTCCTATGATATACTTTCTTATAACTAATTACTACTGAATGAAATGGATATACAATTAAGTACCTGAACAAAGCAGTCATGGAAATGAAGGCGAATCAGTGATGCTGCCATTCTACGCTCAGCTGCGATAGCAGATCTAATGGTAGTCCGAATAGTACTGAGTGCATTTGGACAAGTGTTTGCATAGAATGTAGAAGAAAGATGTGCTTGGCATGTTACGCTCAAAAGCATCATCATCATCGACACCATTGCAGCAGCTTTAGTCACTGCAGTTGCCATTTTCTTTGGTTGATTTTTTCTTTTGCAAAATGAAAACTCAAGTTTAAATCTGATGCAATAAACTGAAGAAGAACACTTGACACAAGCAAAAGGAATTAGTAGGAAACGAAGATGGTTTGAGAACGTAGAGTACTCTTGAATTTATAGTGCAGTATATGGCTAGGTGGAGGCGTTGTCTGGGTCACTATTTGCAGGCAAAACGCGTTGCCTTCATGCGCATTATTCGAAATATTCAAATGTGGAGCCTGCTGCATAATTCCATTATGAATTGACTCATTCACGTTTGACCAGCAGCCCACATCATGTTACTTCTCGCGGGCATGGAAATGTCAATTCGTTTAAAAGGACATTGTATGCACTGAATTTTTGCAACTTATGGCTTTTTCTTAATTATTATGGTCAACAATATTTTATAGTTATCCATATATATGATGTGAACCCACTCGCATCCAGGCATCTAGTAGAAAGGTCAACGCATAAGAGGATACTCTTTCTCTGGATCATGGTCGTCACATCCGCGTTTTGTCCATTTTGCCATTTATTATAACCAAAGAGTAATGAAATTATTTCTCTTTAAACATAAGATTGTGTGATGTTGATTAAATATAGG